CAAGGAATTTTAGTCAATCACACCCTCATTCATGAAACAAGTGACACAGTTGGCATGGAAGTCAATACATCACATCAAAATACAGTGAATTCCCTTTCTAATCAGAGGTAGACTGTGTCTGTATTGTGAGAAATAGTGTAGCAGGCGAACTCTAAGGTGTGGTCCAGCTTTCGGATTCTGTGGTATAATGTCAACCCTGAATTATACAAGTAAGGGAAGTGTAGATTTTTAAGTGGTGGTACTGACATGCAGAAAACATTTTCCAAGATCATTGCTCTGTCAACAAGGACTGCGAGGAAAAGGGGGAGTAGAAAGAAGCAAAGGACAAGGACACCTGCTGGTGAAGGTTGCCCAGTCCCAGCTTGGGATAATACAATATTCCTCAGGCTTCCTTGAACAAAACAACCAGGACAACGATCTGACAATGAACTGGAACTTATGGAAATTGGGGGAACCGTGCCCGTGTAAGGTGGCTCTGGAAATGAGGGCCTCGCTGGGTTGAGGAAAACAGTCATGGAGAACTAAAAGCTGATGCAAGAGAAATGAAAGAGGAAGAATTAACAGAATCTGATGACTTACTGCATGTGCTGGGAAAGAAATGCAAAAGTAAATATACTCTTGCTGATTTATTGATTATGGAGGGGCTGGACAAGGAAGAGAAAGCCTGTAGCCAGGTATCACATAATTATTACTACTGAGTGATTTAAGGTGACAGACACACAGAGAGATGTGCTCTGGGAAGAAGTAACCATTAAGCACCAGTGTTTATTTAGTTCATGGTAATTTACGATGACATTCTCAGAGGTGCTGAAAAGACAAGCTCGATTTCCTTGAGGTTGTCCAGTCTGCCCATCCGTGCCCAGATGTTTTTGGTGCTGCTATGGAACAGTTAGGTGCTCAGGAGACCAGGCTCTGGAGACAGACACCTTAGGACAGTGGTTCTCAACCTTCCTAATGCCGCGACCCTTTAATACAGTTCCTCATGGTGGTGACCCCCAACCATAATATTATTTTCGTTGCTGCTTCATAACTGTAATTTTGCTACTGTTATGAATCGTAATGTAAATATCTGATATGCAGGATGTATTTTCATTGTTACAAATTGAACATAATTAAAGCATAGTGATTAATCACAAAAACAATATGTAATTATATATGTGTTTTCCGATGGTCTCAGGCGACCCCTGTGAAAGGGTCATTCGACCCCCGAAGGGGTCGCGACCTACAGGTTGACAACCGCTGCCCTAGGGTCAATGTTGGCTCCAGTACTCAGTGGCTAGGTGGTCTTTTAATCTCTGTGCCCCCATTTTCTCATTTGTCAAGTGGATACTATAAGTGTTCTTACATATAAAGCTTACAGAATTAATTACAATCATAGAGGCAATGTGTTTACAACTATGCTTGGTACATAGTAACTGTTCAATAAATATTTGCTCTTATTTTACAACTGCTATTACTACCACTACCTTAAACAAATCATTAGCAAAAGCTCATCGAATATGTGAAGGACTTCAGCAAGGTAAAATGTAGCCCAAAATGTTGGAGTCTTTTACACTTGGCACTGCCCAGGATTCCTGACATCTAAAGCAATTAAACTCTGAAAGACTTGAGAGAATTCCTGAAAGATAGCCCTTTGTCCCAAGGCAGGGCAGGAATCCCTAGGAATCCTCCAGTATTATTCTGCCCCGAGGTACCCTCTCCTTGGAGGTCTGCTCCAGTTTCCGGGCTAGCCTTGCTCAATGGTTTCACACATTCACTGTTATTACAGGAAAGGGTTTCTTATTTATTGGGATATACAATTTGGTCTATATATAAATAGCTTTTCTTCATTCCTCAAACCATCTGCCTAGTCTGTTATGAGTTATGACAGGCATCCCTAAAAAGGAACAATCATTCTAAAAGAATGAGGAAGTGTTTAACAAGAGTAAAGGAAGGAGCACTGTATTAAAGTTCAGACCCTATTGTTGATTTAGTGTGTATGTCTTCAGCTCTCTGACATTGTTTCCTCCTTTATACAATGGGAATTACATCCACTTGGTCAGCTTCACAACACTGGCAGGCAGGTCAATGACTCAAGTCTGCACCTCTCAGATGTATTGCCAGGACACACCCTTTAGTAGCTGGATGACTCACTCTCTTCTGAAACAAGCCTTGTGGGCTCATGATGCCAATATAGACCTGCAGAGAGGTTCTCAAATAGGCCCATCAACAATACATAAATGCTAAAGACCTATGAAATTTCACATAAACAGCTATTTATTCTTCAAAGAATAATTCATGCTTTTAATATCTACTTTCTATAGTAGCAATTATTTTTGCTTAGCTCAGCTAGCAATTAAGATACACGACACACTTTATATTACCACATATATTAAAATATCCAAATTCACACATCTGGGAAACACATATAATATCCCAATATCCATCTATAGGGGAAATGTATCCTAATGACACTAAAAGGGTTGAATTTTTCTTGAAACACACTTGGCATTCAAAGTCAGAAAGAATAAAGAAAAAGTTGCATGACATAGAGGAAATAGCACAGAATCAGGCAGATCTGGACTCACAAATCCCAGCTCCACCACTTACGAACTTTGTCACCTGGCAAAGTTAATCATTTCTTTGAGTTTCTATTCTTCATCTATGAAATTTGACACTAGCACATATCTCCCTGAATTGTCACAAAGTTCAAATTTAATAGTACAGAATGCATGAAACTCCTAGAATAGTGCTCAGTAGCTATTTCTTCTCTTCTATGCCAGGAAGAGATAATAATATGATAGTGCTCATGCATGAGGCCATGAGGAAATAGTTTTACAGTCTCACTGAAATTATAGATAACCTGTCACATATTTAGAACACTTGTAGCCAGCCACACCCACAAACAGAAAGGAAAGAGTATTTTCCAAAAGAAATTACTGAAAGATATAATTGTTGTGACAGCCCAAGACACCTTAACACAGGAGGATGACCTAAAGCAGATATACAAAAGAAACATGTTCACTGCGGAGTAGAAATGAAACCTACTCTCTTCCTTACACTCAGTCACCCCAGGAGACTGGGAGCTTCAAAAGGCAGTTTCAGGTAGAGGTTAGGAATAACAATCATGGAATCAGAAGGACCTAGGTCCAAAGTCTGGCCCTTCCATTCACTAGTTGACTGGGAAAGTTGCACAACTCTCTAATCATGAATTTCTTCTTGCATGAGGTGTTACAGAATGAAATGAAATTCATATATAAGTCTCGTTAGCACATAAGAGATCAGTACAGAAGCAATTATAGCTTAATGATGATGATGATGATGATGTGTGATATGGGAAGCTTTGCTGCCTGAATGATATAAAGAACCTGGGGTCCTAGGAATTTGAGCCAATGTAAAATAAATAAATACATACATACATACATAAATAAATAAGTAAGCCCCTTCCTGGGCTGCCACAGGCCAGCTTCCCATTGGTTTACTCTCGTGGTCACTTGGACCTTCCTCCCTGGCCCAGCCAGAGTCTTAGACAGTCAAAGCAACTCCCAGGGGGTATGAGGAGTGGAGGGCCCAGCTCAACTCCAAACCCACCCCCTCAGATGATCTAGAGCAGCGGTTCTCAACCTGTGTGTCGTGACCCCTTTGGCGGTCGAATGACCCTTTCACAGGGGTCGCCTAAGACCATCCTGCATATCAGATATTTACATTACGATTCATAACAGTAGCAACATTACAGTTATGAAGCAGCAACGAAAATAATTTTATGGTTGGGTCACAACATGAGGAACTGTATTTAAAGGGCCGGAAGGTTGAGAACCACTGCTCTAGAGGCTTTAGGTCAAGGTTTGCATCATCTTCTGCTAGCAATTAAGATACACGACACACTCTATATTACCACATATGTTAAAATATGCAAATTCACATTTGAGAGTCCGGATCTGCCTGATTCTGTGCTATTTTCTCTACCTCATGCAACTTTTTCCTTATTCTTTCTGACATTGAATGCCACTGATAAAAGCAGCCAACCAAATGTTTTATTTCCCATCTCGGGAGCTCTGCCCACAGGGAACTGAAGCCCCCTGGTCCGTGTGATTCTTGAGGCCATATAAGTATCGGTATCTAAAGAGCACTTCACCAGCCACACTTCAGCTCTCCCCTTCCGCACCCTCCCACAGGCATAGCTATATTTATTATTTTTACATTTCTACCCCTGGTTATCTTAAAATTCAAACACACTCTATGCTGTTTAACTTTAAAATAAAAGATCTGAATAAAAGAAGATTTAAGATATCAAAGAAAACAAAGATATCCCAGATGAGAAAGAATTAGATCTGGAGATCTAAAAAGAAAAATATATTAGTATCAGAGATTGTTCTCAATACCTTCACATGGGTCAGTCGGTACAGCCATTCGCTAAACTGTCAGTTAAATCAATATTAAATCTTAATTTACTTAAAGTATTTTGTATTATTATTTAAATACTTCTCCCCCACCAGGGTAATATAATTTATGGACACAATAAAGTATTATCTTTTGAAAAGCTCAATAAAGGAGCCAGTTGCTTAAAAATCTCAGTTGGTTAATGGTCAAAGGATGCCTTAGACCTGCAAGCCAGGCATTAAAGACATTTAAAAATACACATTACTTTCAGCTTTATACAAAAGTGGAATTCTATATTCTAATCTGTGGTTATTATTTCTGTAAATTAACTGTCATAACTTTATGCAGTTGGTGTACAAAGGAATTAAGTCTAACATTTACTGCTCACGGTATCATGCAGTCAGGTTAATGCCTATCTTATGAACACATGGAATTAATTATTATCCATCAGTAAAAAGAACCCCGCACAAATATGGAAGATGCTATAATATTAATACTTTTATAGAAACAGTGATTGTTACTTCTCCTTCAGCTTACACTATGCACATTTCTGCTACGCTAACGTCCATACACAAAGTACATGAGAAAATATCTTTGAACGCATCCGAGGGATTCCCTGCTAAAAAAATTCTTTTACTTACCATCCTTTAATTTTTTTTGAAAGATGATGTTTCTTGTATAAGAGAACTTTTATGGGAACCCAAATCAATAGACTCACTGAAGCCACATAGGCAATTGAACAGGAAACGATCAGCCAATAATGAGTTTTTTCTCCTGTATTCCTTGACCTTTGATAGGCAGTGGCGAACTGTTCCACAATCACGAGCGTGGGGATGGAGAAAGCAGCAAACTCAAGAAGCTCGAACACCAGGAACTTGATGAGTCTTCCGGAAGCCATCTCCAGGCAGTGCGAGCAGCTGCGGGCCCAACACTCCCCCTCCGACAGTGAGCAGCATATGGACACTCAGATATGAACTAGGATCAAGTTCCTTGTACTCAAATCACTAACCAGTGACTTTATTCTTTTATTGACCCTCCTATGGTCCAGTGATCTTTCAACTTAACAACCGAGGTCTCTTAAAGAAACAGAGCAGTTGTGGAAGTGATCACCTCGTGTGTTTGCACATCTGTTATTAGAAGGCAGGTGGACTTCAGAACATGCTGTGAAGCACTGTGAAAAGAGGTATCTTAACGGAGCTTTTATTGCTCATTTGGACACAAAAATAGTTTATGTAACATTTAACGCTTGTGAAGTAGAATCATCAGAAGAATATAAATTTACAGTTAAAGGGGAATCCAATCCCCTATATCTATATCTAAGCAAATTCAGGCAAAGCAAAATACCTAAAGCCTGAGTCTTCATCTTGGAAAACGACACCTCATTTTTCTTCAGTGTGCTTGCAAAGCGAGTTTGGATTTATTCTGCTAACTTTCTAACCAGACGTCTTCCTGGTACTTCAATTGTTTATTTGTTCTTACACACTAATTGCTATGTATTTGTTTTTATACCTTATTGTTATTTTGCTGGTCAGGAAACTAACATGGCAATATAAACCTATTATCGGGATTAACACGAAGTTAAGAGCTATTTACATCTAGCCCAAAAGCACATCACATGCTTAAAATACAATTGTTTCCCTGAATATCCTTGCGTAGCCTCTGTGACAAGCACTTTGCTAGGTGCTGGGGTGTGAGGATGAATGAGTGACAGAGGTTCCTGCCCTGAAAATGCTCACAGTCCACAGGAGGAAACAGATCCCTGAGCAACAAAAAGTAACTGAGGTCAAAATCATAACCTAAATGCAATGGTAACACAGCAGAGAGCTTCCTCTTTGAGCTGTGGGAAAGGGAGGGAACGAGAAGGACAAGGAGGATGGGTGGCAGGCGTTGGGTGGCAGTGACATTTCAGGCAGTAAAAAAGAAGCAAGGAGACTGGAATGGGTTATAGAGTCCAGTGTGGCGGCAGGAAACGGGAAGGTGATGTTAGAAAAGTCAGCTGGGGTCAGAACATAAACGTCCCATAAAGGATTGTGTGTGTGTGTGTGTGTGTGTGTGTGTGTGTGTGTGTGTGTGTACAGGCAATTGTTTCTGAAGAGGAGCCACTGAATCACCTGGAAAGGGGAGGGAGTGCAGGTGTGGAGAAAAGGCGGGAGCAACACTAATCTGGAGGCAGGAAGCCAGCTGGGAGCAAAGGAGGAGGAGCAGGGTGCTCAGAGGAGCTGCACCACAGACACGCACTGCTTGCTCTTCAGACGGCCCTGTGTGCCTGCTGTCAGGCTGGTGCAGCCGATATTCCTCTGGGCTCCTCTGTCCCAAGGCCCTTCGCAGAAGGGGCCCTGCACTGTCTGGCTGTCCGGATGGACCGGGCTCTGGTGGTGGCTCTGAGGAGTAGCACCTGCTCCCCTCCCACTGCAGGACTGGTCAGCCAGCGCCTCAAGCTATCTAGTAGTATTTTATTTGAACTTGAGGTTTGAATTCCCTGATGTTTGGCAGAAGTCCTCTCAAAGGAAAGAAGAGATGTGGAAGAATGGTGACAAGGATATGGAAGGATTGGGCAGGAAGACATCTGAGCAGCAGTTCTGTGGCCAACTATTTCCAATATCATGTAACTGACATTGATTCTCTATATCATCCCTAACAAATATGCTTTTTAAAAGATGCTAGTTACAGTGGCTGGGGCATGGGCCCCCAAACTGAAGGGTTGCAGGTCCATCACTGGCCCAATCCAGGAGCCTGTGAAAGATACCAATTGATGTGTCTCTCTCCTCTCTCTCTCTCTCCCTCTCTCTCCCTCTCTTCCTCCTTTTCTCCCTCCCTCCCCCCCTTCCACTCTCTCTGAAAATCAATGGAAAAAAATATCCTCAGGTGAGGATTAACATAAAAATAAATTATACTAGTTACAAATTATGTTAACCTACTAAACCTCTGTCTTGAGTCATCAATGCCATATTGTATTACAATTTCTTATACACACTTTATGTATTAATAGGAATTGTGACCTGATCATTTGAAGACAGTTGCTGAATAAAAATATCCTGGTTCCAGGGAAAAGAAACCTTGCCCAGGTCTGTAATTACATACTAAATGCTTACATTTTATTTCCATGTATGGGAATTAACAGTGACACTCACTTTATATTTCTTACCTATAAATCCTCCTCTGGTTCCTGATCTCTCTCCACCTTTACCTTCAAAGACCACCCAAGAGTGTGAGCATTCCTGTGATGAGTGAGATCTGCTGCTCTCCACCATGCGGGGTGCTGTGAAAACTAGCTGTGCTTTCTCTGAGTGGGAGAGAGGTTTGCTTCTCCCCCACTGCCCACCATGAGCCCAACTCCATGTAAAGGGAAGATTTGTTAACATTGTTCTTTGGAAACTAATTGTGTGCAGGTCATGGTAGCCACACAGTTAGTATTGACTGCCACTCCGGGTGGGGAGAAGACACGAATGCACAGGTAAGGCCTGAGAACATTTACCGAGTGAGCCGGGCAGGTTAGGTCTGTGAAGGGCTTTCTCCAGCCACATCAGGATGAACAGGCTCTGGGCCACAGAATGTCCGGACATGTAAGTACGGCCTGGCATAAACTGGGCCAATCACTTTCCCTTAGGAATTTGAACTAAGAAACATGGGGAAAATTTAATAAGTGGAATTAAAAGAGGCCATGATTTTCATCGAGTCAGGATTAGAACAGCCCAAACTGTATGTGCTATAACCACTTCCAGCATGCCAATGACACTTGGTAACTACTTGCTGACTGAATGAATGAAGCAATGAATGAATGAATGAATGAATGAATGAATGAATGAATGAAAAAGTGGAAGCCAAATGGTGAGGGAATAGAAGAGTTGGTAGACAGAAAGACAACTGGAACAAATCAACAGGGAGATGGAAGAAAGACCAGTCTCTCAGTTGAACTTTCCAGTTCACATGTATTCTTACAAAACGGAGACTTTGCTCTTTGCAACCAAAAGAGCTTCAGTATAAGACAAAAGAATATGTTTACAAGCAGGGGGCAGATATCATATGGAAACTATATGCAAAACTACTGATGATTCAGAGGAGAGGACTGACCAAAAAAATCCAAATACAGTTGATCAGAGAAGGCCTCTGGCAGAGGGGACTTTTGACCTATCTTGATTTTCCTATTGACTCAAAGCAATATCTACATATTGTACAGCATTTCTCTGTATCATTTGATGACATTTCCTTTGAAAAATAGTTCTAAGAAAGTTCACGATGTAGTGAGTTGGAGAGAGGGTTGGGAGAAAAAGGCAAGTGTTTAATACTATGTATAACAATATGGATGGCAAAATCTCATTTTTGTTTTAAACTATAGTTGTAGATTTAAATGTAGAATTAAGAATCCAGAAAGATGCTCATCAAACTGCTAACAGTGCTGGCCCTGGAGAATGGGTGATGAGGGGTGGAGGGGGTTTTCATTTTATTTATTAATATCTGTATCGTTGCAACATTTCATAAGCAACAAAATGAAAATAATTTAAGACTCATAGCAATCAATTAAACAAAGCAATTCCGGCTTAATAAAAATGGTGTGCTTTATTTTTTTGTTACCTCTCCTCCACTAATTTGTTTTCCCTAACCTCTCAGTAGAAGCAAAAGAAACAAATTCCACTTCCACTTTCTCTCTTTAAGAGCCGTACTCAAGAGCAGTGAAATAGCCAGGGGCAAAGGGAAGATGGGAGAAGGCCTGGAGGAACCCTCTCCTGGCCGGGCATTTGGGTGTGAGTTTGATTGCCTTCTGCTCTCACAGGAGAGGGTGAAGGAGAGCCTTCGCCCTCAGTCCTCAGTTAAACCCGGTATGAATCCTCTCCTTGCTCGCCCCCTCCCAGCAGAAATGAGCATTTCTTCCTTTATGTCCACACATCTGCTGAATACTCTGTATCGCTCAGGCTTCTGCTGCAACACTTCCCTCCCTGTTGTTTGTGCACGGGGTCCCCTGCAAAACCCGACGCTCTTGGAAGGCAGAGAACATCTGCTTTCGACTGCGCGCTGTCCTGTCTCCACACACTGCCTACCACCAAAGCATACCTGTGGGAGGAAGGAATGCATGGAGGAGAAGAGAAGTGGTGGGCCGTGGGTCTGTGTTAGGCTTTGACAGTGGCTAGCTCATCTTTTCTTCCAGAGGAATGCTGTCCCTTTCAGAAGGAGACATCACCTACAACCTGTCACAAGACAATCTGTTCACCTGCGAGCTTCAGTTTCCCTGCGTGGTCCCAAGTCCAGCCCCCATGCCTCCTTCCTCCGTGGCCATGGCTTCTCACAGTCTCTCTAGAAAAGAGAGAAAAGCAAAGCCCCCAGGGGTGGCAGGTTCTTGCTCGCATCATGCGTGTTAGGAAAAGACTATGCCCCGGTGCACTCACAGAGACTTCAGGAGTCCCCGTGTTACAGTACCTTTCCCAGCCTTTCAACCCACGTGTCCTCAAAAAGGCGTGTTCAGTAATGGATCGATCCAAAGGCCGCTGGAGAGGACCGTCTAGGATTTGTCCGGTTCAAGGTACAGCCTTCAGTTATTTTTGTCCTCAGTCCTTCTGGTGTCATTTGTCGACACTTTCCGTAACAGATGGGAGGCAGGGAAGGTTTCTTCCTGGGGGATAGAGGAATACGCTAGCTTGGCAAAGGAGAAGACTGCCGTTGCGCCATCATGCCAGGGGAGAAGAAAGCGGGTTTAAAATCACCCGCCCTTCAGTTTATGCCAATCCCGATCCTTTCCCTTCTAAGTTCCCCAGGCGAGTCCACCATGCAATTACACCTCCAATAATTGGAAGGACATGAAGGGGGACATTTTCAAACCACCCTGATTCTTTACTTAGATTCATCCAAGACTGACTCAAAAAAACTGTGCCCCTCGTCTGCTCTGCAATGCTGGGTTTAACAACTTCCTGGTGGGAAGCATGGCTGGCTTTCCGAAGCTGGGCCTGCGGTGGACAGACTGAGGCTTGCGGTCAGCGTGCACTTCCATGTGCGAGTGTTGATGCAGTGCTTTTTATTTTAGTAAGCAGAAGATATGCTGTCCAGGGAACACCTGCTCCCCACACTCCCAGCTGTCATTTCCTTCCTGCAGGCAGGAAGTCAAAATTGAAAGTCTCTGAAACTGTTAGCAAGACCA